CTAGGCAGTAAATGTGCGGTCTTCAGTTATGCAATTTGAGTAGCCAGAACGTAGTAGCTCAGGTTCTAAACCTGAATCTCTGGGAAGCATCTTAACATACGTATTGTTATAAAGAGCAGGCACCTTCGAAGAGCAAAATCAATCCCTTCAAGTGATCATACCATATCATTATTCTACATTATGAGGTCCTCTTATATATATATAGATCACTGATCGAAACAGGTCCCTTTTTTTCCCCCCCTGTTCTCCTCCGGGCAGTTGGTTCTGTTTCTTTTTGTTCTTCTCTTCTCCAACCCACCGGACCAAGCCGATGAAAATGATGAAAAGAAGAAACTAAAATAAAAAACGGCGTCCCTCGATCGCAGTGTAAGATCGAAGGGCACAGTGCGATGGGGATAGCAGACGCAAAGCGCCTTGTTATATCCCTGTCACGAGAACCAAAAATAATGCATTGTTTTCTTGTTTGAACAACTTTTTAATAGGGTTAGGTTAGCTTGGACCTTCAAGGAGGTTTAAAGAAGAGAAAAATAATTAGAATGAGGGAGGGGAGTAGAGACGTATTTATATGTGTGAGTCAGGACAGGGACGGGCGTGGATGCATAGGTATATATTATATACTGTAGCCTGGCATGTAGGTACTGTACTTCCCAACTCTTGCTGGATTTTATTGGTTTAGGGGAGAGAATACTAGGCTGAAATACTCTGTAGACGTCATTTCTTGCCTTCTCGCACTTGATTTAGTCTGAGAAGCAGGCATATTGAGTTGTGATCAGCAAAGGCTTCACAAAACCTCAGTCAGTTCTCTATTCCCATCATCATCGTCGTCATCATCAAACTAGCAACGATAGCTCCTGGGATTTGTATTTGTATGCGCTGGCAACCAATGCTCTACAATTCACAGTTCTTCCACGCTTATCCATGCTGACTCCGATCTATTCTTGAACGATGTCCCTTTCGAGAGAGGTAGACTTATCTGCGGGTAGGCTCCTCGAGCTTCCATCCGACATACACGCGATGATAATGGCCAGTCTTGACGACCTGAAAACACTGCAAAGCCTTCTGATAGCCTTTCCCTCAATGGCCATCCCATTCTCAGCTTCCTTCAGCACGATAACAAGGGCAATCTTGAAACGGTCCTCACGGTATATGGGGCTTTACCAATACCTGTATGCTATTCTTGCCGCTCGTTCCATCGGCGCTCTGGACCAGAAGCAGTTGCAACATTTTCTCGAATTGTTACTTTGGGGAAGATCATCAGCACCCTCTCCCAGCAAGCGTGCCTCGAAATCAGACATCACTCGAGTATATGATCAGCGTCGTTGAGGCCGTTGAATTCTACCTCGTATTCGCGATTCGTGTGTGGAATTGTACTCTCCTCTATTGCAACCCATGGCCTGGGCCCCATTACAACGCATGTCCACCGACGAGATTTCGGATGCGCCGTGCCCGGTTGCGGATTCAGCTCTACACCGAGCTCTTTCACCAGCCAGGGGATTCATCCGACAGTATTTCCGATTGGGAAGAACGACTCCCTGAAATGAAGCTCTTCTGGCACCAGTACGACGAAGCCGAAATGCGGGAATGCAAGTGCATCTACGCAGCAGTGGCTCTTGCGGTTGGACATGAGATTGAATATCTGCTATGATTTATGCAAATCCTTGCACTTCCCAGACTTCCCGAGCAATGTCTTCGAGTTCTTGTTGACTAATAACAATGTCCTGTTCGATAGGCTTTGTTGGATCAGCAGGTCGCAAAAAAAATCTTTTCAAAAGCAAGTGTCATGTTCCCTGACACAGTGTTTGTTCGTTTGCTATATGAAATGTGAATTTGCTGCTGCATTGCTGCAGGTGCGCGATACTGTCGAGTAATTTGAGGAGGAGTGGACGCTGCTCTCTCCCAGATTTGAACAGGAAATATTTGGTTTTTCCCGCATAACCCGAACAGGAATGGCAATCTGAACTTGAGAATCTGCAGCCTCAATCCATCCTCGAGTATCAAGAACTAATTTACCGGTAGCTTCCGAAAGGCCAACTTCAAGAATAAGTGAGGGACTGGCTTGTTCAGCTGATAACGATTTTGGTTTCCACGAAGCATCTGGCTCCTTGATCCAGATTCCATGAGTCCTTGTTGTAGATCCGGTCTTTCGTAAAGCACGAGACAGATTCATCTGGGCGAACTTTTGATTGAGAATATTAGTGAATTCATCTTTTGCCACTTCATGCGGTTTGTTGGGCATTTTTAATAACCAGGGTCTGTGTAGTACGCTCGTAGGAAACCCGACCACCAAGGAATGAGAACGAGTCATCAGTGATTCGTAGGACTTGGTCCTCAGGAACATGTAGAAAAACTAAGAATTGATTGAGGTTGTTGCTTTGCTGTTCAGCTTTCCGGTAAGCTGTGACTTTCTGCTGAAGATCATCAAGACTGACAAAGTTGTGCTTAACTGTTGTTTGCGGAAGCACCTGAAGGAAATTTGTAGAGGGCTCATGAACTTTCAAAGGGTCAGATGCAAGGGCCTGCTAGAAGATGGAAGTGTTGCCATGATGTTTGATAAAGAAAGGTGGAGACCTTTTTCATCAATATCTTGATAATACTAGAATCTAAGTGAGGAAGTTACTCCGGAGTACGGCCGTGGATCGGAAGCAGAAGGCGGTGTAGTATTACAGTTTCTGCCGCTTGCCGTCTTGTTGAATACTGTTTTTTTTTTTCAAGCTGCATGCACGGAGCATCCTCATGGCAAAGCGTGGCTTTTTGCAGTGTGTGTGATGTGTGTGCTTGGAATTAACCCTCCGTACGGAGGACTTGTACTGGCAGCGACTGCCAAGAACTCCTTTCTCTCCCTCCTTCTCCTCCTCTTTCAATGTTCGTTACTCAACTCTTCAGTCACAGTACAATCGAGATCAGCACAATTGCCAATATTAATGCAGAAACTCCTTCCAGAAGATTTCACAGAACAGTTCTCCAGTTCCTCTATGCGTGTATACTGACAGCATATGAATCATGATGAGTCGACTCTGGAGCCTACCTACCGAGCCCCACCTCACCTCCAGTTCGCTCCGTGCGGAGGCCGTCAGGATGGCAATTTATTTTTCTAGTGCAATTTATTTCTCTACTTGGATTGGATAATTGGAGCCTGTGCAGTTACCTACCTACTAATGCCAGCGGACTCTTACTCCGGAGGCCATCCGGGGTAGTCTCTAGTGGCGCTCTCCAACTTATTTTTTCTCCTTCGACATGTCTGCTTTTCTATTTTTTTTTCTTCTGCAGTTGTCCTTGCTGTTGCTGTCAAAGGCATGGTTAACTTGAATAACTACATTTAACTGTCTGCTTGGTGTCTTCAGTCTTTTTCTCCCCCCGTTCTTGATTTGTAATGCTTCTACAAGCCTGTTTATATTTAGTTCCCACACAACATAGCCCACTCGTCTTCGAATCTAATTGATTGATTTGTTGCTCTGCTCCATGATATCTTTATATTATAGTTAGTGCACGCCTGTCAGAACAGTTTCTGTCAAGAGACTGCCATGGCAGCTTCCGACAACGGCCTCACGCGCACCCAGTCCGGCGTCGACGTCGAGCAGGCCGAAAAGGACTTTGCGGAGCTGAACAGAGAGCTGTCTGGCATCTCGCAGCAGGCTCGCCGCCTGTCCAAGCAGCTCTCGAAACAGTCAAGGACTGCTGCCAAGCTCGACGATGTCGAGAAGCTGGGCAGCTCGACCGATTCCGACGACGAGTCCTGGGATCTAGAGAGCGCCCTCCGGGGCTCGAGGGCCGCAGAGGTCCAGGCCGGCATCAAGCCCAAGCGGATTGGTAAGCAGTCTGCACTCTTTAGGTGCATATACCTGACTTCTCGCTGATTTGGTTAGGCGTCATCTGGGACGGTCTTACGGTCCGGGGCATCGGCGGCGTCAAGAACTTTGTCAAGACGTTTCCAGACGCCGTGATCGACTTCTTCAACGTCCCCGCGACGATCATGCATCTCCTCGGCTTCGGCAAGAAGGGCCGTGAATTTGAGATCCTCCACGACTTTCGCGGCGTTGCGAAGCCCGGGGAGATGGTCCTGGTGCTCGGCCGCCCGGGCTCCGGCTGCACCACGTTCCTGAAGGTCATCACGAACCAACGGTTTGGCTACACCGGCATCGATGGAGAGGTCATGTATGGCCCGTTCGACGCCAAGACCTTTGCAAAGAGATTCCGTGGCGAAGCTGTCTACAATCAGGAGGACGACGTCCACCATCCCACCCTGACCGTGGGCCAGACTCTCGGCTTTGCCCTCGACACGAAAACTCCCGGCAAGAGACCGGCGGGAATGTCCAAGAAGGAGTTCAAAGAGAAGGTCATCGACCTGCTGCTCAAGATGTTCAACATCCAGCACACCGTCAACACCGTCGTCGGGAACCAATTCATCAGAGGCATCTCCGGCGGCGAACGGAAACGCGTCAGTATCGCTGAGATGATGGTGACATCGGCCACCGTGTTGGCCTGGGACAACACCACGCGCGGCTTGGATGCGTCCACGGCGCTGGACTTTGCCAAGTCGCTGCGCATCATGACCAATATCTACAAAACCACCACCTTTGTGTCGCTGTATCAGGCATCGGAGAACATCTACAAGCAGTTCGACAAGGTGATGGTCATTGACGGAGGACGACAGGTCTTCTTTGGACCCGCCTCGGAAGCCAGGGCATATTTCGAAGGTCTCGGCTTCAAGGAAAAGCCCCGTCAAACGACTCCGGACTATCTGACCGGCTGTACGGACCCGTTCGAGAGAGAGTACAAGGCAGGCCGCGGCCCGGACAACGTGCCCTCGTCGCCCGAGGAGCTGGTGAAGGCGTTCAACGAGTCGGAATACCGGAAGAGGCTGGATGAGGAGATGGCGGCCTACCGCGCCCAAATCCAGCAGGAGAAGCACGTCTATGAGGAGTTTGAGATTGCCCACCAGGAAGCCAAACGCAAGTTCACGCCCAAATCCTCCGTCTACTCGATTCCTTTCTACCTCCAGGTCTGGGCCTTGATGCAGCGCCAGTTTCACATCAAATGGCAGGATAAATTCGCGCTGACCGTCTCGTGGGCGACATCGATCGGCACGGCCATCATCCTGGGCACGGTCTGGCTCAAGTTGCCCACCACCAGTGCCGGCGCCTTCACGCGAGGGGGGCTGTTGTTCATATCGCTGCTATTCAATGCATTCCAAGCCTTTTCGGAGCTGGGTTCGACCATGCTCGGCCGGCCGATTGTGAACAAGCACCGGGCGTTTACCTTCCACCGACCGAGTGCCCTGTGGATCGCTCAGATCATCGTCGATATCGCCTTCGCATCGGTGCAGATATGTGTGTTCAGTATCATCGTCTATTTCATGTGTGGACTGGTGCTGGACGCGGGCGCCTTCTTCACCTTTGTTCTCATCATCATCATGGGCTATCTGTCGATGACTCTGTTCTTCCGGGCCATCGGCTGCCTCTGCCCGGATTTCGACTACGCCATGAAGTTTGCGGCGGTGATCATCACCCTCTTCGTTTTGACGACGGGCTATCTGATCCAGTACCAGAGCGAGCAGGTGTGGCTGCGGTGGATTTTTTACATCAACCCTTTTGGCCTTGGCTTTTCGTCGTTGATGATCAATGAATTCAAGCGTCTGACCTTGACCTGTGTCTCCAGCTCGTTGGTCCCGTCTGGTCCGGGGTACGGCGATATCGCTCACCAGGTTTGCACCCTGCAAGGCAGCGAGCCCGGTTCGGCGATCATTCCGGGCTCCAACTACCTTCGCGTGGGCTTCAGCTATGACCCGGGTGACCTGTGGCGCAACTTTGGCATCATCATCGCGCTCATTGCTTTCTTCCTGTTCACCAACACCTACCTGGGCGAGACGATGAACTTCGGCGCGGGCGGCAAAACCGTCACGTTCTATCAGAAGGAAAACGCAGAGCGGAAGAAACTCAACGAGAAGCTGATGGCCAGGCGACAAAAGCGGCAGAACAAAGAGCTGGACGAGTCCGGAAACGAGCTGAAGATCGCCTCCAAGGCTGTTCTCACTTGGGAAAACCTCTGCTACGACGTCCCCGTCCCTTCTGGAACTCGCCGTCTGCTGAACTCGGTGTATGGCTACGTCCAGCCCGGGAAGCTGACGGCCTTGATGGGCGCTTCTGGCGCCGGCAAGACGACCCTGCTGGATGTCCTGGCCGCACGGAAGAATATCGGTGTCGTCACCGGCGATATCCTTGTGGATGGCAAGAAACCGGGCACGGCTTTCCAGCGCGGAACCTCGTACGCCGAGCAGCTGGATGTCCACGAGCCGACGCAGACTGTCCGGGAAGCCTTGCGGTTTTCAGCCGAACTTCGCCAGCCGTACGACGTCCCCCAGGCCGAGAAGTTTGCCTATGTCGAGGAGATCATTTCGTTGCTCGAACTCGAGCCGCTCGCAGACGCCGTCATTGGCGACCCGGCGACTGGTCTCTCGGTCGAGGAGCGCAAACGGGTTACGATCGGAGTTGAACTGGCAGCGAAGCCAGAACTGCTTCTGTTCCTCGACGAGCCCACGTCGGGGCTCGACAGCCAGTCGGCCTTCAACATTGTCCGTTTCCTGCGAAAGCTCGCGGCGGCCGGCCAGGCGATACTCTGCACGATCCACCAGCCCAACGCGGCCCTTTTCCAGAGCTTCGACCGGCTCCTGCTCTTGCAGAAGGGCGGGGAGTGCGTCTACTTTGGCGACATTGGACCGGACAGTCAGGTCCTCCTCGACTATTTCCGGCGCAACGGGGCCGATTGCCCGCCCGATGCCAATCCTGCGGAATGGATGCTGGACGCCATCGGCGCTGGGCAGACGCCGCGCATCGGCAATCGAGACTGGGGGGACATCTGGCGGACTTCTCCTGAGCTGGAGGCCGTCAAGGAGGAAATCGCCCGGATCAAAGCGGAGCGCATCGCGGAGAACCAGGAGGAAGGGGTGACGGGCCAGCAGGACATGGAGTATGCGACGCCTCTCTGGTTCCAGATCAAGACGGTCGTGCGGCGAGCCAACCTGTCGTTCTGGCGATCGCCCAACTACGGGTTCACGCGGCTGTTCACCCACGCGGTGATTGCGTTGTTCACGGGTCTGGCCTTCCTGCAGCTGGACGACTCGCGCTCGTCGCTGCAGTACCGCGTGTTCGTGCTGTTCCAGATCACGGTGATTCCGGCCATCATCATCCAGCAGGTCGAGCCCAAATACGACATGTCGCGGCTGATCTTCTACCGCGAATCGGCGTCCAAGACGTACCGGCCGATCGCGTTTGCGCTGTCGATGGTGGTGGCCGAAATCCCGTACAGCATTCTCTGCTCCGTGGCGTTTTTCCTGCCCATCTACTACATCCCGGGATTCCAGACTGCGTCCGATCGGGCGGGATACCAGTTCCTCATGGTCTTCATCACGGAATTCTTCTCCGTGACGCTGGGCCAGATGATCGCCGCGCTGACGCCGAGCGCCTTCATCGCGTCGCAGCTCAACCCGCCGTTCGTGATCATCTTCTCGCTGTTCTGTGGCGTGGCCATCCCCAAGCCGCAGATCCCGGGGTTCTGGCGGGCATGGCTGTACCAGCTGGATCCGTTCACGAGGCTGATCGGGGGGATGCTGGTGACGGAGCTGCACGACCGGCCGGTGGTGTGCCAGCCGGAGGAGTACAACCGCTTCAGCGCGCCGCCGGGGCAGACATGCGGCGAGTACATGCAGGCGTTCTTCGACGCGGGCGGACCGGGGTACCTGCTGAACAACGCGACGGACCAGTGCGAGTATTGCGCGTATCGGGTTGGCGATGAGTTCTACGCGCCGCTGGGCTTGAGTTATGCGAATCGCTGGCGGGATCTGGGGATCTTTGCGGCGTTTATTGCCAGCAACTTGATCATCCTGTTTGTGGGGGTGCGTCCATATCCAGTCATCACTGCTAGTTGTCACTGCTAACGGTTCAACAGTCCCGGCTCTTGAACTTCAATCGACGGTAGACAATCACTATGTTGCGTAGACATGACCTATAATATAGACTCGACGACAGCACCTGACTGCATACATTCGCCGTTTTGCTTTTTTTTTTCGGTGATGGGTGATATTGCATTGGAACAGATACAGATTTAGAGGAAGCGAAGGCATCTCGACTGCATTTGCGAGTATAGATAAAAGTGGCTAGCAGGTAGTACACGACGAGATTGAATAATAATAATGTTAGTATTATTAATGAATACGAAGGAAGCACAATCTTTCTTTCTGCACTCTCTATCAAGTAGGTTCGTTCGTATTCTCCACTATTCTCCATCTCTTTTTCGTTACATCCTGGATTCCATCCCCAATCGACTATTCTTGACACCCCCACGTTTTCCCCACGGCCCACCCTAGGTACGGAGTACGGAGTATACCTAGGTTACCTACCTCTGCCTATGGGAAATAAAGCTTGCGAGTCCGGCTTCCTCTCCGAACGAAGGCTGAGCCGTCTCCATTCTATTGCTGCCTTCTCTCCGCTTGCCAAGAAACGCCCTGCCTTGCGTGGATGACATAGCAACTCTCTAACTCTCTCTCGGGCGAGTCAAGCCAAGAACCATAATAATGCAGGGAGATCTCGACAGAGAAGAGAGAGGGAAGGAGTCGGACATGCTCCGATGAGCGAAGCAAAAACAAGCGCACGCTTTGGCCTCTGCAAGTACGTATACATCCGACCCGACTACTCTGGAGGAGTGTTTTACCCCGCATCGTTGACGATCCCCCGGAAATGGTCCGTCGGGTACGGGGTAAAGTATCCGGGGGATATCCAGGGAAATGAAATGAAGTTAACCAACCATGCCGTGTCAATGCGCTGGACTATACTCACACATGGACAGCTATTAGCTAGCTGGTCGATCGCCGAGCTGCAGGGTAAATGATCAGCCGTGTACGGAGTAAGTTTGTGGATTTTGGGCACCTGCTCTTTTGGTCGAGCTGGGTCTCCTCTCGTTGTAGAAATAGAGCTGGGTCCTCCTGCCTCGCCATCTCCTTTATTCAACAGCTAGCTGAACTGGACACTGCGAGATTTGCCAATCGATTCTAGATACAGACAGACAGCAACATGGGCAAAGACCCCGCCACCACAGGGGAGGAAATCGCCGCCCCAACCGTCACGCACGATGAACGACCCCCCGCAGAGTCGAAATGGAAAATGGCCGCCAAGTCGAAAGACGGCGACACGGCCATGGCCCTCTTCAACGACGTCGAGGACCTGCGCGAGGCCATCGATCCGGCAGAGGAGCGCAAGCTGCTGTGGCGGATTGATCTGATGATTCTGCCGTATTTGGCGGTTTGTTATGCGTTTTTCTACATTGATAAGGTCAGCAAAAAACTCACTCTTCTCGTGGATTGATTGGGGATATGTTCGCTGATTATTTTTGTGTAGACAACCCTCAGTTATGCCGCCATCTTCGGCATTCGGCAGGATCTGCACCTCGAGGGCACAGAGTACAACTGGCTCAGCAGCCTGTTCTACTTTGGCTTCTTGGCCTGGGCGTTTCCGACGAATTTTTTGCTGCAGCGGTTGCCAATTGGTGTGTCGAAGTTATCCTATGCGTGGGTGATTTGCTGACTACGACAGGGAAATACCTCGGTTTTAATATCTTTATGTGGTGAGTAAGAAACTGAAGAATTCGAAATAAACGTCTAGCTGACGACACAGGGGCGTGTTCTTGATGCTCCAGGCTGCCTGCAACAGTTTCGCCACGCTCGCCGTCCTTCGAGTGTTATCAGGCGCCGCAGAGGCCTGCTCGGATCCCGGCTTCATGCTCATCACCAGCATGTGGTACACGCGCAAGGAGCAACCGGTGAGGATTGGCCTGTGGTACACGGCCAACGGGTTCGGCATCGCCATGGGCGGGTTGTTTGGCTATGCCATCGGGCATATCCGGGGGGCACTGCCGTCGTGGAAATATGAATTCCTGGTCATGTAAGTAGCCGGACGCCAGGGCTTGTATTGATCGCATTGACTGATTGATCGCCTGCAGCGGCGCACTCTGCTCGGCTTGGGGCATCGTCATGTTCCTCTTCCTCCCCGACTCGCCCGTCACTGCACCCGGCCTCAGCCTGAAGCATCGCCGCATGGCCGTCGAGCGGCTGCGCGAGAACCAGACCGGGGTCGAGAACAAGCATCTCAAGCCGTACCAGATCTGGGAGGCGTTTACAGACTATAAGCTGTACTTCTTCTTCATCCTTGGTGTTGTTTGTACGGACGATACCATCCTACTGTATGCTCGGTTGCCGCTAGCTGACTGAATTGATTCAGGTAACATCCCCAACGGAGGCATTTCGAACTTTGGCACGATTATCATCCAGGGGTTTGGGTTTTCGACCCTCGTGACGACTCTGATGCAGGTATGCAGAACCTCAGAATAAATTCACCAGAAGACGGAATCGGAATGCAGATTAACTGTGTGACTACAGATCCCCTACGGCGTCCTCATCGCCCTCTCCATCCTCACCTGCGTGTTTCTCAACGACCGCTTCAAGAACCGCCGCTGCGTCTTCATCCTCATCTTCCTGATCCCCAACCTGGTGGGAGCCTTTGGGCTGCGGTTTGTGCCTCTTGACCGCAAGGTTGGCCGCTTGCTGTGCTACTACCTGACGGGGCCGTACAATGCGGCGTTTGTGTTGGTGCTCAGCATGCAGATTGCGAATACGGCGGGTGTGTTGATATTCGAGCCCTAACCTTCTTTTTTTTGTTCCTGGCTGATTTAAATCTGTGTATGCAGGCCACACGAAAAAAGTCGTCACCAACGCGGTCCTCTTCCTCGGGTACTGCACGGGGAACATTGCAGGGCCGTTCTTCTACAAGACTGATCAATCGTACGTCAACCTCCAATACATCCTGCTGTCGAATGATCCATGTACTTATTTATGATCCATGTACTTATTTACTGCCGACAGCCCTACCTACCGCCTCGGCATCTGGTCCATGATCGTCTCGCACCTCGTCGAGGCCGTCCTCATTTCGATTCTTGGCCTGCTCCTGCGGTGGGAGAACCAGAAGCGCGACCGCATCCAGTCGCAGCAGGAGGGCGGTCTGGAGGGCAGAGATCTTGATGCGACGGCGTTTTTGGACCTGACGGATCGGGAGAATATGAAGTGAGCCATCAATCCTTATTCTTAGTGATGGATCCAGTTAGCTAACGGTGTTTCTTTTCTCTGCAGCTTCCGGTATATCTATTGAGTCAGTGTCAGTCAGTCGATATGTCGAGGGTTGGAACAGTAATGTCATGTCGGTTTTAACGATAATGCACGCTATACGTGTTATATACCTATATATCCTGATGCGATGATTAGCTTTGAATGATATACACAGTACAGAAAAGTACTGACATATACAAACTTGGACCTTCTTCATACATCCATACTCATCTAGGTACTGTACAGTGCTCCGTACAGTACAGTACAGTATAGTCTGGTGCTAGAAACTCTGGCAAGTCCTGCGTATTTTCTTCTACTTGGAGATTTATTTCCTAGACTTAAATATATACGGAGTAGATCGAATCGAATCTTACCAGAATAAATACCTATGACCTATATTACCTTCTGTAAAACAACGGAGAATACTAATCAACTGCCAGTGCCATGCGTATTAATATTAGTGAATATTCCTGTCGATGAATGTAACGTTTCAGAAACGATAGCTCTGTATGCTCCGGCAGCGATGATTGGGCCATTGCACCTGAAACGTTGGTGGCGTGCCGCAAGACGCGCCGATCAAATTAATTAATTAATTCGTCTCGTTCATCTGGTCAGTTATCTTGTTATCTACGATCTGATTGATACTAGATGATCTCATAACCGTCTTTGTCGGATGTCACGGTGTCGGTGGAGATGCTTGGCATTGCAGACTCCGAGTGTTCGGTGTTATCTTGCTAGGTAAGTAACTAATTATCCAAGATCTGTTCTGATCTCATAGCATCGCATCTTTCTTATCTGCTGTTAATTATCCATTCAGCCCGACGTGGTAATTGCTGTCACTGTGTCACCAGCTCTGGCTAGACTCGTCTGACTCGTCTCCCCCCTGCATCGACTGAGTCGTGTCCCTTGCGCCGCTATCGTCACTGCTTTCACAGTTTTACTACGACTCGAGTCAGGGCTCCTTCATCGAAATTACTGTAATTTTCTCGTTCCAGGTGGCTGGAACCTCGACGCCACCATGATTCTGCAGGCATGGAACCGTCTGCGCCATCGCGTCCATGCCAGACCGAAACAGAAAGAGAAACAGAAACAGAAACAATGCGCCCAAGGTTGGTAAACACTAAACAGACAGCTGTTGTTTCACCTTGCGCTCCCCACCTGCTGCATCTGCTGCATCTCCATCCACATGTCTGGTTGGTTGCTATGATATACTACTATACATCATGCAAGTACGGTTTGGTTTGGTTCCCTGCCCCCCTGCCCGGCGCGTATCTCTTAGATTAGACTAGACAGACTGTCCCTGATCGAGGCAAATCTGATGCTCTGGCAATTTGTGCGGCTGGTAGTCTGGACGGAGGAGGATTATGATCCTTGTCTAATTGATTTCTTTCTTATCTTACCCGTCTAGTCTATCTACTTCTGTCGTTTACCTTCTCTCTCTCTCTCTCTC